TACGCAAAATTTTGACAGCTTGTAAATATGTATACACATAAAGTTTTTGGCGGTAATCAAGAGTCAAAATCAAAATGGAGAAAAGAACAAAAAGCTTACGTTAGTTGTCAGTCATAAAATAAATCAAATTTATCTGCGAATATTTGTTTATTCTATTTATTGAAAGGCAACCACGCGGAAAAGCTTGTATTGATTATATTGATAACAGAACCTGGCAACTCGCACGTTGTCTAAATTCTCAAGTAACATCAAATCTACAAAAGAATACATTGCTTGTATCAATACGCCATGTATAAATTTTAGCAACACACCAAAATAGAGCTTTCGTAAGAGCGTTTGTTTGGTTTTTAAACACCATTTATAATTTTCTTTTAATAAAATCACGATTTGTCAAATGCTTAAATTTATTTTTCTAATAATAATGCAGCACACAACCCTGAAATCTATGAAAAAATCTGAGGAAGGCCATTAAATAGCAGCACAGATCCCAGTGCCTTCCTCAAGGGTGAATATAGCTACAACAACACCGATTACTACAACAAGAACCCAAAAAGGTCTATACTGTGCATTTTTAGTTTGTTCCAGTACACTAGGACATAGTAAGAAACAGTATGAAATTACAGGAAGTCGTTCCCGTACGCAAGAATTTCTCTTACTGGGAACACTTGAGCGAGTAAGAGAGCAACTCTTCCCAGTCAGAAGTGACAGGATTTTGTCCGAAGTTTTTCTTCCTGCAAGTTCATGAAAAGTGTCAAACGATAGGCAGGGTTGCATTAGTAAACAAACACAGAACGCGGTGCGATCAAAGATGGAGGTAAACAACGAAATATTTGAATATGTATGCAATTATTCTTAATTGTATAATTTTTAATAATTATTTAATGATTTTCAGCCAAATCAGTGTTCTACCAATGACATGTAAACAAACCTACTGACGTTTGTGCAGGAAATAGTGCTTTTTGCGTTCCCGTTCACTTCTGTAACAGTTCCCCTTATACTCTCACTTGAGAGAGTAAGAATGTAGTTTGACAGTTCCACATGTCTTTGCACGAAGAATACTGGAACAAACTATTTACTTAACGAAGTGTCCGAAAGAAATTTTATTATAAGAAGAGAACAAGAGAGAAGGTAACGAAAATTCAAAAGAAAGGGAATGCATGATAATTAACATGTCAAACAACTTAAGATAGGGCTGTATTTATTTCATTTAATTCAGCATATATATTGGCGTTATTTCACCTTTGATAATTTTTTGTGAAATGTTTACCTATTGTACAGCTGGTGTGCATATAAAGAGTAACTCGGTAATTCTCTAGTTTCAGGTACAACTTGCAAGAAAAAAACGCCCAAAAAAGTCAGGAGGGTGCGTTTTTATCCCTGTATTAACAATTTGGATGTTAATATTGTTAACCATGCAAAAGTTATTAACAAAACACTTTTTTGCAATATTGCCCTTTTTATGAGCAATTTCACGCTCAAAAATGCACTAAATCACCAATATTCTCTTTTGAAAAACTAGTCAAATATATTATTTAAAAAACTTTTTCAAAAAGCGATGTTCCCGATCTGAAATGAGAAAATTCAAAACGGCGTAAAGTGCTCCCACTTTATTTGTATTTCGTAAAAATTCAGTTTTCCTTAGTACTCAACATTGCAGATGCCATATAAGGAAAACTGAATTTTTACGAAATACGAATAAAGTGGGAGCACTATACGCCGTATTGAATTTTCTCGTTTCAGATCGGCCATAATAGTCTTATTTCTCAATGTGAATGGCTTTATTGCACGGCGCCTTTTTTTCTATCATCTATTCTTCAAAATGTAATAGATCCCCACGACGCTCGGGTAAATCCCGATTTAACATCGTGGGCTCCTCTACGAAATATAATATTTACTCGACTAAAATATAGACGCATAATTATGTATTTACAAATGTATGTTTTAATGTATGCTTTCCAATATTTTTCAGATATATTAAGCATTATAAAAAATGGCTGACTAGTAGACACTATTACATTTGTCAAGCCAAAATACAGTTGGTGCAACTAATTGGTACTGATCCCAAGGAGCTTATGGTAGTACCTGAGGATAAACTCAATCTCAAATTGGAATATGTTAAAGAGTTGATCGATTTATATGAGAAATTAGCACCGTGTATGTATTATATAAACATATTCACAAATACATGTGCAAAAAGCAAATAGAGTTGTAAAACATTCGAAACTGTCAAATATGTATTTCAGGTGAAGTCCGCATGTTGGGTACATTTTGTTTTGAGTTGCACTCAGCCATAGCAGAGCATACACGTCGAGTGGCATTGCAGACCACATTATCTCCGAAAAACATGTTGGAGGAATCCTTACTCTATGTTGAAAAATGTATAAATTATTTGCAGCATGAATGCGACCTGTTTGTAGAGGGTCACATCCTTATACAGGCGAGAATCAACAGAGACGCTCTAAGAATGGTGCTAGTAATGTAAAAAAAGAACGCTCAATTATCTTTGTATTTTTAATTTATTATTTCATCCTATTAAAGAAATTTAAAACTTATTTTATTTTCTGGTAAATAGATTAAAGGAAGAAATTGGTAGCTTAGAGTGAAAAGTAGCTAAGTCCACTTTTTTTGAAAACTCATATTTTGATAAAGGAAGCAAGAGAATTCAAAAATGCATATTTTCGAAAAGGATTAAGGTACTTCAACGAAAGGCAAATTTGCTAAGTCCAAAAGAGGCGCCGAAAATCCGATAAAGCAAAAATAGTAGTACGAAATCCTTTAACAATGATCGAATCCTCCGGATTGTAAAGGAGTTTTGCTTTGCTTTAAACATGCAAAATGTTGTGTTCTAAGTTTAGCGATAAAAAGAAAGAAAATGGCTCCAAGAAGTTTTTTCGTCTCCTGTAAAATTTTTAAAAGAGAACTTAGCAACTTTTCTCTCTAAGCTAGCGATATGTTTATACATGTTATAAAATTAATATAAATATTATATAAATATTAAATATTAATATTAATAAATAAATAATAATAAATATTAATATAATTCATTCTCATCAAGTGCTTCAAAAGTGTTTAGGCGCGTCTGCTAACACCAGGCGCCTAAATACATGCTATNGAAGTTTTTTCGTCTCCTGTAAAATTTTTAAAAGAGAACTTAGCAACTTTTCACTCTAAGCTAGCGATATGTTTATACATGTTATAAAGTTAATATAAATATTATATAAATATTAAATATTAATATTAATAAATAAATAATAATAAATATTAATATTAATAAATAAATAATAATAAATATTAATATAATTCATTCTCATCAAGTGCTTCAAAAGTGTTTAGGCGCGTCTGCTAACACCAGGCGCCTAAATACATGCTATGTACTGCTGCATGTGCAAAAATTTCCTTTATACAATTTATGAAATTTTTGCACATGCACTTCTCAACTGCCATGTAATTGAACTTTCTTAAGTTTTGATTAGATGGCACTTCAAAGCATGCCCGGCCTAGTCTGATGCATCCTCCGGACACTGCTTCCGGAGCATTTTGCGGACTCTGCATGACTTACAACCATGCAGAGGTGGCAAACGAACTTTGCCATTGGCCACAATGCCTACCCACCATTTTTGAACCAATAAATATTTTTTTATATAAATACATACATGTAAACATACTGGCCTCTCCTCTCTCTGAGTTATTCAAAAAGTTTAAATAAATATTAATATAAATATTAATAAATTAATAAATATATAATAATAAATAAATATTAATATAATTCATTTTCATCAAGTGCTTCAAAAGTTAGACGAGGAATATTNATGCCTATCCACCATTTTTGAACCAATAAATATTTTTTTATATAAATACATACATGTAAACATACTGGCCTCTCCTCTCTTTGAGTTATTCAAAAAGTTTAAATAAATATTAATATAAATATTAATAAATATATAATAATAAATAAATATTAATATAATTCATTTTCATCAAGTGCTTCAAAAGTTAGACGAGGAATATTTAGATCGCTTAAATAGAATAAGTTGAATTCAAATTACGCTGTGCAAGCTGCAAGTTTGAGCAAAAGTTTTAATAGTTGAACTCACCGCGTGATTTCGACGACTTAGGGGAAGGAAAATCATAGCACCCACAATTTTTACTCTAGAAATTTTTTTAGTTATGTACTTCTACTAGACTATATAAATACGGTTTCAAAGGATGTACGTGATTCCATAAGTACAATATTTTAGATGGGCATTTCCAGGGGATGGTCTTTACAGTCAAAAATTAAAAGTGATACATACATACATACATATTCACCCCTATGCTGCAATCCGTTATAGATTCGATTTTGCTACGAATCGTAATTGGTATGCTGAAATCCGCGTAAAATAAAGTGTGTAAAGGAGAAAATATGTAAGTTAAAGTGTGAATAGAAAAAAATGGATTANCTAAAAGTGATACATACATACATACATATTCACCCCTATGCTGTAATCCGTTATAGATTCGATTTTGCTACGAATCGTAAAATTGGTATGCTGAAATCCGCGTAAAATAAAGTGTGTAAAGGAGAAAATATGTAAGTTAAAGTGTGAATAGAAAAAAATGGATTATTGTTAAATATTTACAAAATTATCAGGTCGAAGATCACAACAAATCGGTCGCAATACGAAAAAATGGTAGAATGCAAGACCGAAAGGCCGGACATTGCCCGCGGCTTTGCAAAAGGAGCTAAAGAGGATGTAGTGGAGTTTTGGGAAAGCGTCGCTCAGCAGCTAAACAGCTTAGGCCCACCGACAAAAGATGTATCCAGCTGGAAAAAGGTGCGGATTAAATTTTAAGAGCACAAAATTTATTTATCATTTCCTTATATCAATACTATTTCTAGGTATGGCTACAGTGACCATCCGTTCTGTTTTTTGCAGGACCGTACTGTTTTTCAAAGGTCGGTCCTGCGTAGTTTTACAAACCTGAAAAGCCTGAAAATGTACTGATTTTTTCCAAGTGTCCTGCATTTGTCCCGCATTTTATTCGTTATTTTAAAATTATCGGACAATGGATGGATTTTTTCAAAAAAGTGTTTTTTGGTATTTTCGTAGCTTTTCTTCAATATCTCATGAAAAAATCTCCAAATTAACGTAAGCGACTTACAGCTCGAAGGGTATTGATGTGCCTCTTACCAAAATATATAACTTGTGGCGACTTCAATGAAAATGTTTAGTGCTACAGGCGAAAAAAGTGAGATTTTCAATCAAATACGCAGTTTCATTTGATTACTTTTTTTTCATTATTTAAAAAATTCGATAAAGAAGATATATCATTACAGTGATCTTTGAGCCAAAGGTAATGAAAATCAGATTAGAAATGTAGATGCTATGGAGCGCAATATGCACAAATTATATATCTTTGTTAAGGGCACTTTGTAACTCGTCGTTAACGTCGATTCATGACGTCGATTTT